TATTAATAAGTCACAATCCACAAACTCAGTAAAATGACCACTACCATAAAACAAAACACAGGAAAATGACCACTAGTTGTGCATAAAAGTAAAACAGTACAATACTTACAGTTCTTTTTCAAACGTGAATGTTGTATATATTTATATATAAAACAAACAATAGAAGCACACTTACTGTCAAGTAGCCTATACCAACATTAACATAAGATAATCCTTATGTGTATTATGTATGATGGAAATCCATCAAGGGTGAAAGGTTCAGTTTAAACCAGTACATGGTTATATCATGTGCACAGCTATTGCTTATGGCAATGAAAATCGTATTGGTCCCGCCATGCGTTTTAGAAGGGGGATGATTTTAACCGTTTTATTTCAGGGGGGATGCCATCCCCCCTCAACTCGAGTACCGAGTATTATCATAAAAATAGCACGTTTATTTATTTTAACAAACCACGTTTTCCAAGTAAAATCTATAGAACATATGTTTAATCTTTTTGAAAAATATGATCGGACCATCAGTAACAGATCATCAGTCTTGTGTACAGAATGATCAGTCCGATAAAGTCATGCCAAAACACCGACATTTTACGCGATAAATACGGGTTTAAATATCAGCATTTGCCACGGAAGGCGAGTGGCAGCTACCGTAAACCTTCTCTTAACTCTTAACTTGTGGCATTTACTTGCCACGGCAAGTTGTGGCATATATAAGTTGTGGCATATACTTGCCACGGCAAGTTGTGGCATATACTTGCCACAGATACCACGGAGTAGCGGCCTCCGTGGCAGATGCCGGAAGTACTTGCCACTGCCCGCAGATGCCACGAAATGCGCTTGCTGTCTCTCCAAAATCGTGGATGTTGCAGTTACACAGTGTGAGTTTTCACCACAAAACCACTGCGTTTGAGCACTCATGCTGCAAACTTTGCATATCCTTTGAATATCCTGAATCCTCAACAATGTGTTAAAAGTTCAACTTTGTCCTTGAATGCAACACAGAAAAGTTGCTCGGAGCTGGACGAAATTTTAACCTAAATTGGACTGAAACAAGACCACTAAAGTGATAAAGACGTGTAATATTATTAGCATCTTGATGAACATTTAATTGTATCCTTGTTATTCATATTGGAGCCACATTTTCTTTTTCAGCTTTTATGTTGAACTTATGTATTTTACATTTTATCAACATGTTCATCAACTTTATCATTGCTATTGGATCATTGTTACAATAAGAAAATAGATTGTAGTCACTGAGATTCTAATAATAACCAAAAATTGAAATAATTTGCTCTATCTTTTATTATTTTCTGTTAATACTGTATGTCATCAAGTATAAACATATAGTATTTTAATATTATCAGTATATAGGACATGAGATTGGGCACAGCTTTTAGAACAGTTTTCAGGTGGATGCTGTCGTAAAAAACTTGCTTGAACTTGTTATTCCGTAAAAATGTGAACCAGTCTGTTTTTTTACTTTAAGGAAAGTCAGGACATACAACACAGATGTCAGTGTCTCCCAATATGAGCTTTTTTTAATTAAATAAAAACATTGCCAGTTTCGGCATGAATTACATTACACTGAAACTACGTCAAATACTTTTGTGCTGATCAGGGAACGTGAAGTATGAATAAGAGAAACAGGAAGTCATTGTTGACATATTTACTCATTCAAGATGAACTGATAGATCATTATGCTATGTTTTACTTCCTCCTGCAGCATAGAAAGGTGACTAAACAGTAGAAAGATTAAAACATTTGAACTAATGATCATACTTAGAGCAGTTTATTGGATTACAGACGCTATTTTGCCGGGTATACCATCTCCTCCTTTAATGTGAATTGCAGGTTTTTTTGTATTTAACCAGATGAAAGCATTTACAATGTTGACCTGGCCAAGAAGGCAGCAACGTTACACATTATTACACAGGTGTAAGGTGAAAAGCATATGCTCTGTCATTTTTATATATACATTTCTGTATACTTACTCTAACAATATGAATACTCTTCCTTGTTCCACAGGCCTGCAGAAGAGAACATGCCTCTGCAAAATGGAGCTCCCTACAGCAGTGTCTCAGAGGTGGCCAGCTCTCGTGGAAAGCCCAAAAAGAGACGAGCAGGGCGGCCGCGCCGGGCCGACGGACAGGAGTACGAAACGGACTACAACTCTTCCGGAGACGAGCTGGACGACAATGACTTCGACAGGTAGGAAGAAACTAAAGACCCACCTCTCTCCCCTTTAAAGTTTAAAGTCTTAAGTAAAGGAAGTGTAATTGACAATGTCTAATTGAATTACAAAAATATGCAGAATGTCTTTTAAACATGTAACATATTATTTAATACCATTCATGTGCATTAACACAGTTTGGCAGCATTTTAATGTCAGTTTATTTATGTGGAGCTGAATTTAACTATGTGAAATGATGATTGTGTTTGCACTCCAAAAAATAGGAATTAGTTATTGCAAGTCTTTTTTCACCAAATAAAATAAAATCAAGATTACTGGTTTTCTGACGGAAAATAATATGTTGAATAACAAGTGGGAGTATAGCAACATCGTCCTCGCAGTATTTTCACCTACCTTTTCCAACTGATACTGTAGTCAGCGAAGTTTCCTTTTTGTTTTTGTTGACTTGTTTTGTTGTTCTTCTCTAACTGAAGTGTTCCCTCTCTTATTTTCTGCTTTAGTGAATACCCTCCCATAAGAAACGAGGTGGAGCGCAATGACTACAAACGTAATTTTGATCGCGAACACCAGGAGTACAAAGACCTGCAGGCGGAGCTGGACGCCCTCAATAAGGGTCTGTCAGACCTCGACAGAGAGCTGGACGACCTGCAGGAGGGCAGCCCACAGTTCCTGGTGAGACTTAGTTTAAATTAACAGTTTAATATTGATTTATTGACTGCCTTATTGAATATAACCAATAGTTCTGTTTTCATTTCAATTATCTTGAAGGATATTCCCAATTTGAAAACGAGATGTATCTGTGCAAAGACACAGCAGTAACTGACAGCATGAGCTCAGAAATGTAGTTTGCTTTAAAATTCATAGCAGTGAAGCTGCGTAGTCAAAATGTGTGTGCCATTAAAGGAGGCTTTTACAGAAAATGTGCACCAACTATGCCCGTTCAGTGTCTTTTAACACCTCATTGTGATTTCCCTTTGGAGAAGACCAAAAACAGAGCTAACAGATATGAATTATTGGAGTTATAAAGGCTAAGAAGATACTGTTAGCTAACAAGTTCAACCTTGTAATTTATACGGTTACAACATTTCAGTTGCGTGTTTACTTTCAACCGACAAGTGGCTTTTAGTTTAAGACGGATAAAGTAATGAAGATAAAGAAAGACTGTGTTAGAGAAATGGTGACATTTTGAAATGTGATACATTGTTGATTCACTCTTTAACAGGATGCTTTGGATGAGTACAACAGGATAAAGAACACAAAGAAGGTATGTGTTATTGTTGTTGATTTACAGTTCAAACAGAACCAGAATACAGATTTATCATGGTCATAATAGCTTCTGCTTTTTACAATTGATGAAGCTTTTATATAAAACTCATACTCATTATGTCTCGTCTTCTTTCTCCAATCATATCTGCAGTCTCCAGACTACCTGGTGAAGAAGCGCAGGTGTAAATATCTGAAGTCCAAACTGAGCCACATCAAGAAGATGGTCAGTGATTTCGACCGCAGAGCCTGAACAACTACTTGAGGATCTTACGGGTGAAATGTTTGAGGATTTCAGAGAACAGAGGAGGAGCTACACTGATGTCGAACACAACAGTGTCTGAGCTGTTAGCTGGTGAAACATTGCAAAGGTTGTCTTCTACTTTTGAGACACAGAAAACAAAGATTCCCTGTTGTGTTATGATACTGTTTGTATTACGAGTATCACCTGCCGTAGATACTGTTATATAAGTATTTATTTTGCCTCATGTTATGTGAAATCATCTATAAGAGGGGGTTAAGCTACTACATAGTGGAGGGAAAACAAAACAAATCGGTTTGTTTTTAAATTGCTCTTTTTATGTTGATTTATTATGAGATTCCTTTTCAAGAGCCTTTTTATTCTCATTTCTTGCGATGTCGATGTAAATATGTGGGAAACGCTGAGATTTGTAATGATTTTAGCAATGTGTGTTACGGTGAGTTATGGTACAACAAACAGACACTTTTAAATGCATGTTTAATGCATATTGATGTACTTTTTAAATGATCTGATGACTCTTTTTTTATTATAATAAATACATTTTATTGAACTTTTCTTATGCTGTATTTTTACACAATGGCTTCTCAGACATTTTTAAGACTACAAGCTATTTTCGAAGAACATGCTAAGGATTTATGGGAAACGTGTTAAGAACCAATCTCAACTTGAGTTTGGGTTAAATAAATAAATAATGCTCCCATCAACCCTTACCCTAATGTTAAAAGTATAGCTTGTAGGGACAAAACCACAGAGAATTACCACCTGACTATGAAGTTCCCTTCAGCCCTTTGCATCTTTTTTAGCTTCTTTTAGCATTGTTTTGATTTTGAACCTGCATATTCTGCTCAGCAACCCTGTTTTCCGGGCAAAGAAAGTTGTGATAAACATATTATACACAACCTGTCCAGCACAAACAGAAGACAGACACTGTTATTAATTAGCTGGTGAACATAGTGGAACATTTATCAACTAAAGAGACACATATTTCCCTATGGAGCTGGTGGAGACCAAAGCCAGGTCAGCTGAAAGGTGTGTACATATTGAATTGATCTCTCTAGTGTCTAGAAACACAACTTCAGATTAAAGCTCATGTGTTTAGCAAAGTCTGATGGATGTCTTAACTTCTTGCTAACATGCTAGCTTTAACAGCTTCATAAGGTGGCAATATATCAGATCCTATGTTTTTAGCTCGCTCTGCTGCCACCGAAGGCAAGCAACTCTTAACACGGCTTTATGGAAGTGTTACAAACACTGACGCCATATACACAGTGACGGCACGCTGAAGCAGAGGAAAGTACCTTAAGTTTGTGGCTTTACTCGATAAGGATGCTTTGTTTTCTCATATATCTTCTTTGGTTTCCTCATTGAATTACACCACAGAGACACTTAATCACATGACACCATATTTCACATTAAGACACAAACTTCTCTTCCCTCCTGGCTGAATTTCAGGCAGTGGTTTTGAACTGTTCAGTCTGCATCGAGTGTCTCCTCAGCAGCATCCTCCTGGTCATCTCCTTGGGATGGCCCGGAGGAGCGGAGGGAAGGAAACTCTTTAGGCCAGACTCTTTCTCACAGATTGCACCCCCAGCGCTGGAGCCGAGGTTGTACACATTAAGGATGGGAGCCAGAGGGGGCAGAGATCTAGGCCTGGCTTGGGAGGTGTGGTCCAACAAGAAGGCCCCAGATCCTCTGCGCTCGTACCCAGACAACACCCTCCTGTTTGGGCCCAAACTCGATAGTGACTCCCTGGAGCCCATTGTGCCGGAGCAGTGTAAGGGAGCCAGCTTCTTGCCATCTAAAAGGTCTCTTGTTCTCTGCTGGGACTCCTCCGGCAGACAGTGGATGTCTCTAGCTAGCTGCGGGTCGGAGCTGTAGATGTCCTCCCCAAGCTTGCGCCTTTGGATAATGCTTTGAAGGCTTGAGGAGGCCATGCTGTGAAGTGGAGTGCTGAGGTTTTTGCCACCAGAGAAGGAGGAAGAGGAGGCAAGGGAATCTGTTCCAAGGTTTACAGAGTGGAGGTTAGGGTGGGAGGCAGAGTGGGAGGACTGGAGACCTGGTACGGATATATTTAGTCCCACATGTTTGTCACATTCATTCTTTCCTTCTACTCCTTTGTCCCTTGCCAATCGTTCTTCATACCATCTGAAGGTCTCTGCTGATGAATTTATGCTGTCCAGCTTGTGAATTCTGAAAGGCAAGTCCTCCGTTCGGTTGAGGTCTTTGCTGTTTTCTGTAGAAGAGGCGGGATGATGATGCTGGTGGAGCAGAGACGTTGGGATCTTTAGCCAGGGCTCAGAGTTCAACCTCATGAGGGGCTGCTGCAGGCCGTACCCCGCCACGTGGCCCAGCCTTTGAAACCGAGAAGGGGAACCAGGATGGGAGCTTACGCCTTCTTTAAACGAGAAGACATTCTTAGGGGGACATAAGGAAGAGGAGGAATGACATTGGGGTGAGGTGATAAGCTGGATTTCAGACGGAGAAGCAGGAGCTGCTGATGCCGTTTTGTCCATCTGATCAAGAGGACCAACAGAAGGCGTGCTGAGGTACTGTTTGGCTTGTGAGTTCCCACATGGGAAATGATCAGTGGTTATGATGATCACCTCCTTCCCCTTGGCTTTGCATGTGTCCAGCAGCACCTTCAAAACCTTTAAGTCTCCAGCCATGACTGTGTACACCAGCGCTGACGTCCCGGACTGGTCCTCCAGGCTGATGTCCGCTCCACTAGCCAGCAGCAGAGACACCACCTCGGGGCCGGCCTGCTCCCGGCAGGCGTGCATGAGCGCAGAGCGACCCTCCTTGTCCTGGATGTTGGGGTCCGCCTCTTTCTCCAGGAGGAACTGGAGCAGCTTGACCCGGCTGGCGCTCTGGGCGTCAGTATGCTGGGTCCTGCAGGCCACCATCAGGGGGGTCTGGCCCTGGCTGTCGCTCTCGTTGATGTAAGCTCCCCCCTCCAGGAGCAGCCGGGTGAGACGCAGGCGACGGAGGAACACCGCTCTTAACAAGGGGTTTCCTGAATCCAGCGTCACCGCAGGATTACTGCCTTCTGCCTCCATCCCTCTGGGTCCAAGCTGCTGGCTTTCAGAGATGTAGTAGGATGGGTTTCTGTGGAAAACAAAAACTACTTTTAGGAAATTATGCTAAAGTAAAGCTATTTTCATTCACAAGCCACGGATAAACTTTTAATTCCCAAGTTGTGACTTTGGGATCATGCATTCAGGTCTCACACATTACACAACGGCAAAATCCCTCTTTTATTTAGTTTGTTTATCATTCAGTGTTTTCTGCCGGTTCTCATCTTTGATCCTCTTTACTTGCATGTGAAAGGCTTTGGAAAAGCTGAACATTTACAGTTTTTGTCTTTTCTTCTTGCATATAGGATCCATTCAACAGCTCCTTTTCATGCGCTCCTCCTCCACAGCACCAGCAGAGGCAGACACTTTCTATCAGCCTTTGTGCTGTTTGTCCTTGCTTCTCTCCATTAGACCAAATAAGATGGCAGTTACAATGTCTCAGACAGGAGAATATCAATGTCCGCATAATGTTGCACTTCTGCGTCATACTGTGTCTCCATATGTTAGTACGTTCTGCCCTGTGTAGGAGAATAGGCCTACAAGCTGACCTTCACGATCCAGAATGATGATTAGCATGTGTTGCTATTAGCATTTCCCGACATGTCATATATTAATAAACCAATACACTGCTATTTGTTTAACCTCCAAGTAAAGGGAATGATTTACAAATCTGTAACATTCAATATATTTTCCTTTTTCATAGTAAATTGAATGAAAGGCCCAAAACCAACTATGTATACTAACAAGTATTGAGTGTGGAAAACTATTTTTAAGGGCAAATAATATCCTTTTTACCATATTAATTTGACAAAATGAGGCACGATGTAGAGTCAAAATAATAAAACAAAAATATAATTCAACTAACAAATGAGGTAGCATTGCTAACTAGCACATATAAAAGTAATTTGAATTAGCTCCACCTTTAGCAGCTTCAAAATGCAAGTGATATTCACAATAATGCATCAATAACTATAATCCAGTTTTATAATAGTATTGGGAAAAGGACCAACCTACATAATGACTCCCTTAACTTTAAATGCTTTAGGTACATTCTGATGCTAACACTTTTGTAATTTTGCTCAAGAGTTTGAATGCTGGACTTTCCCATCTAATATACACTTTTTTTTACACTGTAATTGGACAGTATAATGAGTTCCACTGCTAGTCACCTTATAAAAGCACACTCATAAAAAACCTATACGTCATGTTTTCTGTCATCGTCTTTTTCTCCCTTATCCTGTTGCTGCCGTAAGCAATTACATCATCACTGAAAACAACTGAGCTCTTTCCGCTGGCAGCCACACGTCCAACACAAACACCACCTGCATGCTTGACAGATGAGATGGAGGTGGTGCGCATATAATCATGCTCTTTCTTTTTTGGTTGGTACTTTCGCCTAATTACTGTTCAAAATATCAATCATTGAGTCAACCCTTTAACAGAACTCTGCAGTTTTTAATGTGCCATGGCCTCCTACTGCACATAACTATATTTCACTTCATCTATAGAGAGATTGTATTTCTTCATTCTTATATTTCTGTGACCCTTTACTTTACACAAAATGTCATCCTCTTCTTTTACCCTTATATACCCTTTACCCTGAGTTATTTTATGTTGGTCGGTTTCATTTACTGAAAAACACTGCATCATGTTTAAAATGCTTGTATAGATTTTAAATATAACTCTTAGAAAAACAGAGCAGTACAAAGTATAATATGTTTCAATTATATTAAATAGTTTGCATACAATGTAAATACTTAAGTGAAGCACAACAACACATTTCCACCATTCATTTTAAGACACTGGTTTTCACATTTCTTTAGATGTGAAGAAACAACAGACAAATATCACACCTAGAATCAGATTTATTACAGGTGGTTCTCCTAAAATGACGGTACAGTGTGTGGGTTACATTTCCCCCAATGTTCACCTGATATGGATATGGTAAACACCTTGAAATTGAGGCTGAAAGTCTCTTTTATATGTTCATTTCTTAATACTCACAGTAGCACTGTCCACTATATGCAAATATTGTACAGTATTTTTGCATTGGTTTGTTTCCACCCTACCTTCAGATTGAGAATAGAAAACTCCACTTCACCTGAACAAGCCTCGCTCAACACTCATCTTCCATAAGAGCCCACTCACATCACTGTGTGTGTCCGTGTGTGTGTGAGCGCACATATGCTAATTGCTGGTGTTTGTTACTTGTGCACATGTCCGAACGCACTTTCAAATTGACAAAATAAATATATAAAGCATCTTGTTAAATACCACAAAGCGTAAAATTATCCATACATTCAGATTCCTTCTGAGTTCCCTACCACATCATGTCAAAAGGTCACAAGAAGACAGCAATAAATACTAAATGTCCTGTAGTGTGTGTGAACTACTTACCAATCTTCAGTAGGGTTGGTCTTCTCTGGCAGACATTTACTCTCCTGTTGCAGAGCTGCTACTGACTGTGCCCAGGCAGTGCTGAGGTGTGTG